CAGATAGGAGGGCTTTGCGTGAGCAGACGATGGTTTCGATGGGTCCCACTAGGTACTCGGAATGGTATAAGGGATTGTTATCGGTCAGAGACATGAACAACCTGTGCGCGAGTCAGCAGTGGCTTGTGGTTTCGAACAATAGAGCTGAGACTGACTGATAGTGTACAGGAAGAGGTGCTGCCTGCTTGCTTCAACACGTGTGCGTCGCGCTGACATCGAATACACGTCCAACTCTTGGTCTGTTGGTCGTCCCAGCACTGATGATGGGATGGCACATCGTCACATGACCGTGACACGATAAGTAATCTAATTCCCACGCGGGGTTGCCGCATATCCACCACACACCTGTCGCGAATTCATATGCAACTAAAAAATGTACTCGTTCAAAGTGGTTGGAGCGGTCTGCACAGTCTGCGAATATCGAGGTGAATTGTACAAGAGTGTGTGCCCTATGCAAGCCACACACCCAAAAACAGAACATTAATGCTTGATGCACGTTACAAGGGGTGAGTATGGTAAAGTAACCCTCCACAAAAGACCGGAACCTAGCTAGCCGCCGATGGGCGGCTGAAACATCGTCATGGGTGTCAGGCGATGTCACCCCCAGATCCCCACGTTCTGTCATCTGGCGGCGTTCTAGACCAGTCCTGCGGGGAGCTGTGGGGCAAGGAGTTGAGGCTGGGCAGTGTATCTTCTACGCCTTGTGTTCCCTCTGTAAGGGACTTTGGGTGTGGGGGAGTAGCGGGCCGACTCGGTGTCTCACCCAACCGCTCCTGGGCGCCAGTTGCCTTCATGGATGTCATGTTACCCATGGAATATTCAACAAGCGTGCGGTGCATGCGCGCAGCGCCACATGACATGGTGATCACTGGATCATGAAACACGACAATCAGTATATGGTGCGCAACTCCAAGCTGCGGGTTGACTCACCGCCAAAATCCATGAACATCTACGGCATTACGGTCGACGAGTTGGTTAGTGGATCCTTCCTCTTCAAGCTAAAGGACGTACCAGATTCATGGGGTCTGTCAGTACCAAAGCCGTGAACATTCAGTACACAATCTCCCGGTAGATACGAGATTGCACACCATCCAAATTCAAGATGATAATAACCTGGGGGCCACCGTTAGCTACTTTGCCCAATATCTTTGAAGATTAAATATACCAGCGGGGGGAATTCGGCAAGTGCGAAAATCACACCCCATGCCAAGGTCTATTCAGGCCATAGGTTATAGGATCAACATGGCCGCTACATGATGATAAAGGCTTACCTGCTTGTACAGCAGCTGCGCGATGCCACCGCTTCGACGGGCGTTTTTCCAACGCAGGCTGCCGAACAGCATGAGCGAAAGAAGGACGAGGTCAGTGATACAGGTGGAGAGGATGCCGATCCTGTTATGCACTGTATGATGTATCGAACAAAACCTTCCGTTCCAGTACCCCTTGGATATGGCTGCACCTGGAAGATGTGTCAGAAGAACCAGCTCGGGGAGAACCCATAAAGGGACCTACTATAAACGAAGAAGACAGTGTTTGCGAGCCAGGCAGTGGAGGCAATGGCAACGATGAACTTGTTATGCTCCCAGAGGGCGGAGCTGAGGGCAGCACGTTTAGGATGTTACAACGACAAAACCGGCTCTACTCACATGCGTAGAACAATCAAAGCCGATGAAAACAGTAATGAAAGGTACCCAAATGTCTGCGTAGTCGCTTGAGACCAAGATCATCGAACTACTGGAGTATCTTACGAAAACCATGATGCTTAAAGCCTGAGTGTAGCTTGGTCTCCATTTCCATCCGAACAGTGTAAGAATCAAGAGGCTCCGTACCTGACATTGGATTATGTGTACCACATCAGTAATGAGGAACTGGACTGTAATGGCGAACAAAGGGCACCACCGGCATCCCAGGTAAAGCTGAATGAACGTGGTCTTACAATCGTGTCATGGGGTTTTAAAAGGAGCGTACCAGAAATGTCCAGGTAAACTTGCGCTTGCCCGTTATTATGGAGTACTCATAGTCTAGGTTCAGGACAAACTCCCAGCTGGTACGAGGTGAGCAACGGGACCAAAAAAAAGCTCGAGGGGATGAGATAACTTACACATACAGGCCACCCAAAAAGTGGACAAATTTGATGAGGGTAACTGCCACAAAGGCTTTAATCTCTATACTCCTCTAAGGCCAGAAAAGACGAACTATCATCATGGGTAAAGCGAGCAGTATCATGATTGGGCCGGCCCGAGTTAGTCATCGAATTTGGCAGGCGATCAACGCTGCAACAAGGGGAATGGAGTGTGGGAGCGGGAGTTCCATCGAGCTCTCACCCACATCGGTGTACTTAAACAATAATGAGTCGGGAGTTTTACGAAAGACACTAACATTAGCCACCGAAAAGTCAGTGATTCAGGCACCAAACGGCATCGTTTGGTGATTGCCCATCAATGTCTACGTGCTGAACCTGGCAATGATGTATTGGTCATGGGAAGGCAGCAGCATTCCTAACATGTTGACTCTAACCCAATAAGTCAAAATGGTGCTGATGAAGCTCTCGACATCGGCGTCGTCGTTACGGCCTCTCGCATACACGTATCCCAGTTCCTGGGACAATTAAGGTTCCATTGGTGGCGATTATAACTGGGGTTCTCGGAACACACTAAAAGGACTGCTGAAACCCACATCCGTGCACCCAGAAACCCAGGATTAGCACCTCATGGGGTATTATTGAGTATGTCATAGGTTCACGGTAGAGGGGCGGCGTCTCAACCAAGGTCGTCCAACTCGACGGCCAGGCATTCGCCGAAAGCCCTCCTCGCGCTCAGCCTGAAACGTTGAAACACCGCACGGAGTTCCCCAACCGTCGCTACGTCTGCGGGCCGAGGACAACCGCACGCAGCGAGCACGAGCCTACAATTTGATCGACGTTGATCTTCGACAATCAAGGCGACGCTAGGCTAGGCTCGTACCCGTGCGTTCCATCCACGAAGCGTGTCCCCCTATAGCTGTGGATACCCTGCACTGCCCACACCGGCAAGTATGCGGCTGCGGCTTTGCCTTCAAATTCGGTGACATCCGATGATCCGAGTTCGAGCTTGAGCCGTCGCCCAGGACGACGCTGCTGCACCCAAAGTTTGGATGCCGCAGCCGCCACCGTCACCATGGATGTTATTCCACGGTACATGATCGTACTTCTCTGCAAGGATGATAGATTATTACCCTCATCACCAGCTGTACAGCTTCTGGCCAGTCCATGGTCACTACGTTACTCCTCCGTCGGGAGGGACACGTTGACTGTTGGCCTTGAATCTTTTTCCCGTCTCAGGCTATGCTGTATTGATTTGTGATCGTGATTCGTACTGTACGTACGGTGAACAAATCAACTGAATACTCAATGCAGCGGGGTTACAAAGCCGTCTAACGTTAAGCCAGCACCCCTCATTCTCACGGTGGGCTATGAACCCGGAGCATATGGTACAAACCATGAGTTACAGATCGTGAGTTGTCAGGTCAAGGGATGGGGCGTAGCTCGCGGGGACGCAGCAAGCACCCACGAACCCATGAGTCCCACGTGACAGGGACCAGATGAACTGGCTGAGCTAGCTGAAATGATCACCTTAGGTGTCAAGAATTCGGTCTAATGAGCGTCCCCGGCATCCCCAGTCAATCTCACAAGCCCCAAGCCCCAAAAGTTGTCGGCTGCGGAATGGCCTAACCAAGATGTAGCTTGTATGCTACTGGAAAGAGGTAGCTGAAGAAAAGGTCAATCAAGACTTCACAGAGGGTGTGCTAACGGTTGTGCATGTGGTAGATGAAACCGGTCAAGCTGGCGAAGAGTCTGAAGACTCGGAAAGACACCTTTTGGTCAGACATATCACTCTCCCCCTCATCGAAAGCCTTGACGCCTTGATCTTCCACTATACCCGCCTCGTTCACAACGCATTCCTCACTGATTCCTGCAGCCTCTCACCGTCGAGCGCGTCTAATGACGTTTCATGAACGCAGAATTAAAATAATAACCGACAGCACTCCGGTCCGAGTCGCCACTCGAAATCGCTATTGTGTACCATTTAAGTTACCACTGTCACCATGACCAAGTTGCAAGTTGCCCGGTCTCCAAGCCAAAGCCAGCTGGCATCCACAAGTGGTTTTATTTCTCCTGAGACTTGTATACTGGAAACAACATGCTTTGCAACGACGACACAGGGCTTGAAGACTGGAATATATTCGAGTTGTTACTACAGAAGATAACATGTAGGTGTGGGGTTCTTGGAAACGTGCATACACTGAAGTGTGAAACAACATGTGTTATGTGTCTACCTCGAGCGAGAGGTAGTGACCTTTGCAAACTGGGCCATTTACAGTCCAGGTCCACGTTGTGGAAGGGAGTGAGTTGCGCCCTGGGCTTGGGGCTTGGGGTAAGGAACCCTCGGTTGATTGATGTGATGGTTGCCAATGCATCCGCACGGTTCTGTCTTCTGTCAATTCGAGCAGCGCAGCGGATCATGACGCCCTGATGGGGACGTTACACGTTACCCGGGGGACACTGACGGGCACACTGTATGCATGAACAACTGGACAGATCGAAGCGAAGGGTTCTCGGCCTAAGCAGGTACGCCAAAGTAGAAGAAATCTGCCATAACTCCAGTTGTGGGAAGGAACGCCAAAAAAACCATGGGGTGGGTTAGAGGGAGGATTAAAAACCAAAATATAGTATACTGTCGCACGATTTCAGAACGTTCACTGAAAAGCATCTGGCCACGTTTTCCGCACAGCCATACATCATGTATGATGGGTCAATCGGCGCCATCTCTACGAACTGTGGTCTTGGATAGCAATTGCACTTCCAGCTTTACCCAAACCAGTCTTGTCTACCAGTCATTCGACAGGTCATTTTGACGGACACCTTGGCAGCTTGGAGGATATTAGGGGCCACGAGGCAAGGCATGATGGAATGCCGTACAGTCTCAACCTAGTATAAGTTACAGATCAGCATCGGCGCATGTGGTCTTGTAGTGTAGTGGTTATCACTCGGGATTTTGACCATGATGTTGAATTTCCCGAAACCCAGGTTCGAACCCTGGCAAGACCTGGAAGTGTATTTTTTTTTCCCTCTCTGTTTATACTTTACTAAACAGCTGAGAAAAATCAGAATACTATGTGTTGCCGAGTTTTTCTGCAAGATACGATCATCGGGTTTCGTCCCTTTTGGGGTAAGCAACTCGAACGTGGGTCCGGGCGCTCAACGAACTCAACATTCAACACTGCCCCTGCGCCGTGGTCGTCCTTAAGCTCAATCATATCTCTATAACAATCACTGATTTGTGACCACTGACCTGTGATATTTAAGACGGACAGTGGCCATGATCAGGCATTGCAACAGTGCCCCCTGCTCAAATGGTTATCGAATGGGCACGGCCAATATCGAACGCCCATGTATGTCCCAAAACACAGAAACGTGTATCCCCCCACAATTTTGAAACACGCTGTCGAGCCCCCAGATTCTGGGAACAAGGCATGCCGTACTTGAAATTTCTTACGTACGCACCTAAATATGCGGACTCACTGGGGGACAGAACAATAGGAAGAGGATATTATGGCATCGGTCATCACCACCCGAGGACCGAGTGATACAAGGAGTGTCAGGAGTGTCAGTGGTAGTTTCGGCATTCGATACTCCATCAGCGACCGAGACACCGACCTCGGAGGGCCCGCGTGGAAACAAAACATATTACATTAATATAGTTCAATTCAAGCTATCGTATAGGGCATTACAAAGTGCATCATCGCGGTCGTAAGATAGTAAAAGTCCAGCGTCCAATCCGTTTGTCCATTGTCAGATCAGAAAATCGTTCGTCATGAGAATGTGTCGAGTCATCGTGGTCTTAGTAAGGTAACGCATGTTCACATGTTTCACCCTCTCTCCCATTAGTCAGTGATCGTGAACTCATCGCTAGCATTGCCCGAGTCGCCGATAACTGCCAGGTCCGGTAAGAATCACAAGCAAAGACCGAGGAAAGTACGGAATAACTCACGAACAACGATATAATTGGAGCCAGGCGAGACGCTCGGAACAGGGAACGAAACTTGCCCAGCGGCCAAGGTAAAATTTTGCGCCAAGGGGTGGTCTAAGCGGAGTGGCATGTGAGCACGGGAACGCAATCGCATACGCAAGGGGGTATCAACTGACCAACATCAAGGTTCTCACCACCCGAACCATCAGCGTTTATATGCCCGAGGAGAAGGGTCCCTATCGGGTTCGTAACCTCCGCGGGACGCGACGAGATGTCCCTATGATTCCGCACGCAAAATGAGAGATCACATTTTTAACAACAAATGATCCCCAACCCCCTCAAACCCCCGGGGGGTTGGTGTGTTGGGGTTGGCGGGCGTTGAGAACGTACCAGGTGGCCGTGACCGTCGAGCCTACTTTCCAAACTGTGTCGTCATTCGGCGTGATAACCCGCGGTGCCCAAACGTCCCTCTTTGACAGGAACTGCACGGGGCTCTGCTGCACGGGAGCAGCGGAGACGCCACTAAGGGCGAAGACGAAGAGCGCAGCGAGGGGCTTAAAGAACATCATCGTAGCAAAAAGGTGGGGCGTAGAAGACAACAACGAAAAACTGGGTGGAGATAGGGGGAGAAAGAGAAGGGGAGTGAGCGCACTGGAGGATATGGTCAGCACCTTGCTTTCTTTTAAATACAGTAGGTGAGGCTGTGTGGTCCAGGTGCCCCCAGGTGCCCATTGATTACCCTATACCCACGCAAAGGCCGAACATAATAATACCCGAGCTGAATGACCCCAGACCTGACTAGACCGACCGGTGATGGACAAACCCGGCTTACTGTAACTCATACTGTAATATGACTTAAGTTACGTCCGTCAGCCCCGACACATCAGATGCCGGTCTCACAGGCATGCCAAGGTCCAATCGGATGTCGAAATGTTCCGAATGGACCCGTGCACAGCGGATTTACGAGAGGATTCTATCGATAATACAGGTATGAAGCCACCCAAGTCGAGGCTTTTTTGTGTGGAGTAGTGGAGTAGGTGTCCAAGTGATCAGCTATAATTGGACACGGAGACCCATCATCGGTCATCTGACTTGTCACTTGTCACCATTTCAGCAACTGAGTTGGCCACATTCGAGCGTGCCACGCCATATGGCAGTATGGGAGTAGTCCAGTAAATTTTGGGCCGGCTACAATTATGTAAATAGTAGATATGATCGTCACTCACTTCTTCGTGGAATCGAGCGGGGAGACAAGAGAATGGAAAAGAGATAAGAATGAGAGGAGTGGCGGACAAGGAGACAATGTAGATGCTAATGCGGGACAAACCAACCGGATATCACGGTGACAATGATACAAACACAACTCGAAAGGTGTTTATTCCTTGCTCAAACTCAGGGCGCGCATACCCTCCTCGAGCACATTCGTAAGGTAACGCCCCTTCAAGCACTCTGGTGACTTTGTGTTGTTAGGGAGAGCCTGGGTAGGCGGGGAGACTGGAGCAGCGGGCACCTTCACCTCTGGCTCAATGTCGACAATGGTTACAACGGCCTGCCCTTCGAGGACACGTCGGATCTTGTCCGCATCCCAGGTCGGAGTGCTAGCGTTGGTTGCCTCATTCGATGGTGAGTGAGCAGTGAAGGCTTGCCAGAAAGCGCTACCGAGTCGCTGAAGGAGCGTTTGTGAGGCCATACTTGCAAGAAGGGCCTGTTGTGGCGTGGGCAGGTTCTCCGAGGAGGTGAAAGGGGGAGCCGCAGGGCCAAGCATCGGTGATGAGGGCGGTGACGGATAGATGGAGGCGTGCTTTCCGCTAAGGAGAGAGGATGTAGAAGATGAGGGAACACGCGGGGATGTGAAATAGTGGGGACGCAAACCAGCAGCCAAGCCAGTGACGGGAGGTGGCTGCTGTTGAGATTGTGTTGGTTGGTATTGGGCCATGCGAGTCCAGAGTTGCATTCTATACCTATAAAACATTAAGGAGGGAGGTATTGTGAGAAAGGAAGCCACGAACGCATCGAGCATCTTCATTGTGAATGGATTCGCTTCCGAGAAGGAGTCGAACGGCGCGGCCTTGGAAAGGTTCGCATTGGGATATAAGCCAAAAGCACTGGCATTTAGTAGAGGGTTGATATTTTCCTGGAGTATAGGACTATATGCGCGTGCCCCAGCCAGCGGTTTGACGCTCGCAAGCGGTTGTGCAAAGTTCTCGGGAATGAGAGTCGTGTGAACGGGGGTAACCCCACCAAAGGAAGCACTTCCTCCCCAAAATGCTTTGGCAGCTGATGCGGCGAGACGAGGCGAGGATGGGAGGTCTTTTTGTGTGTTCGGAGTAACAAGAGACGAGCTCGTCGTCGCACGGGTGGCTGCCGGTATGGGACCCGGTGGTGGCAGCACCGGGGACTCGGCCCGGCCTGCGGAAGCGAGGAGGGCTTTCTTGAGGGCACTGATTTCCTGTCTCAAAGTAGCGTTCTCAGACTGGCTGGAACCGAGCTCGGTGCGGATGGCATCAATGAGACGATCACGTTCTTCAATGTCCCCCTCAAGCGTCGTTATGTACTCTGGGCATGGTTCGTTAGCTACGGTGGTCACACGAAAGCGGATTATCTCACCCTTGCGTCGTACTCGGAAGTTACGGGCACTGATTTTGTTACGAAGCTGACGCTTTTCTTTGCTAGACATCTTCTTGTATTCTTCGGGGGAAGGACGCCAGTCATCACCATCATCCCTCGGGTCGTCTTTATCCCTCACGACCGCTGATACCGTTGCCTTCTTCTGAACACCACCCGACTGTACAGTGCCCTTCCGAGATTTGCCTTTGCCACCAACTTTGATAACTGGGACTGTGGGATATTCCTCATCCTCGTCCTCTTCCTCACTTTCTTTCTTTGTTATATCCTCTACCTCCCCAAGGTCACACGCACCTTCCGGGGACACGGTGCTCGACATGAGCTGCGGATCGATGGCAAAGGAAAGACTGCTGCCTGTGTTCGCGCTGCCAGAGTCGTTGGGGCTGTCGTTCGAAAGTGTGAGAAAGTCCCAAGGGACGCCGGTGACTGGTGGCGGTATGGATTGGTCGGTCTTGACAAAGTCCTCCTCGAAAGAGAAGTTGAACCAGTCTGAGGGATTTGGCTCCGATATAGTAGGAAGAGGGGAAAAGAGTGGAGTGGACACAGAAGGCGAGGGATCACGAGAGTCGGAGGTTGTCGAGCTTGGGGTAGTGAACAGGTCCATGTTCACAAAGTCGGATAGGTCGGCTGGATTGAGAGTGAGGGGGGATTGGTGCAAAGCGTTACCGACTAGCATGATGTTGTGCCAAAAGGGAGAGTATTCTTGGGTGCGTCGTCGTTGTGGGGAGGAACAGATGGCGGACAAGGTGAGAAAGATGGCTTTGGGAAGCCGTTCGCCCCCATCCACCTTACATAAGCTCCACCGTGAACTGACTCAGACTCAGTTCTTTCTTTCTCCTTCTGAAGTGTTCTCCCCCGGCAACCTTACGTACTGCCAAGATGTCTTTCAACTCGATCCCATCATCCATTGTCAATCCTGTGTTCGTCCACCAATTTATTATCCCGAGTGTCTGTGTGATCCATGAGATCGATAACTTCGTGCAACGTGTTTCGCCTCCTCTCAGCCTGCAGGCGCACCCTGCTTGGGTTCATTAAGATATCAAGATATGTGAACTTTTTGGTTAGTGCTTATGATACTCCGCCTTCGCTTGCTTAGAAGCCCATACACGCACGGCATTTTGATGGGAAAGGCCGTCTACCTCTCCGACTCCCCGCTCCCGACACTTGCCAATGATCGGATTGATATTCCGATACCTACGACACCCATCGATTGACGGACGTAGAGAAATTTTGCTTTGACATTTGTCCGGAGACACGTTCTGTCTACAGGGGCTCCCAGGTTCTTCGTTCCCTCTATCATCGATGTTTAACACACTTCCTTTCGCTCGAGGAATTCATTGTCTCGTTCCGTTCCGCTCTTGCCGTCCTAGAGCTGTGGTATTTCCACCGCCCAACCGTAGTCGACTACGATGAGGGAAGGTGTTGCAAGCTCAGTCTCACAGTTCGGAGATGA